ACTTGCACCTGTGTTTGAAGGAGAGAAACCCTAAACCCTAAACCCTAAACCCTAAACCCTAAACCCTAAACCCTAAACCCTAAACCACTTGCAAACCGAGGTGGCCGAACTTCGACTGAGGAGCGTTCCGGATCTCCCAAAGGACCACGCATCTCCGGAAGGGACTGTGCGAGACATGGCAAGGTTTAGGGTTTAGGGTTTAGGGTTTAGGGTGTAGGGTTTAGGGTTTAGGTTTGAGGGTTGAGGGTTTAGGGTTCAGGGCTTAGGGAAGCATCCCAATGGGTTGGGCAGTGTAGATGTCGGTGTTGTGGGGCTGGAGGGGGAGGGTTGCAGAGAGAGGGACAGCTCCGACGACCAGGACCCCGATGGCGACGACGTGTCGGCCAAGCTCTCCATGATGCTGAACCGGGGATCCACGGCTAGGGCGCCCAGCCTTCTTTTGCAGGCTCTTCCAACGTGCCTCCGAGACCCCTAAACCCTAAACCCTAAGCCATAAACCCTAAACCCTAAACCCTACATGGTGCCCTGCATGGTGCCCTGCATTTGGGGTCCCTGTCCTTCTTTGGCTGCCTTTTAGCACAGGGCTTTTTGTTGTTTCTCAAGGTACTGTAGCCATAAAGGGACCACAATGAGGGCTGAGGGTTCAGGGTTGAGAATTTACAGTATCGGGTTTAGGGTTTAGGATCGCAAACCCGAGGCCAGCAGCTAACTCAAGTTGTGTTGCAGAGGGGAAAAGGCTTCCAGCCTAGGCCGTCAAAACCCTACAGGCTCTTGGGGTAGCTGCATAGTCCCTTAGTATGCGGCCGTATATACCCCTTATATACCCCATACAACCCAAGGGCCCATACTTTACTTCAGAACCATTTAAAGGAGGTAAGTAACCATATTAAAGGCCCGTGAAACTACCCCTAGAAAGATACCAGCCGCGCGTGGTCTGGTCTACCGTCTGCACTCATGGTCGCTTCTTGGCGATCTTGTCATGGCACGGTCCTTTGTATGTAGGGTTTAGGGTTTAGGGTTTAGGGGTTAGGGGTTAGGGGTTTAGGGTTTAGGGTTTAGGGTTTAGCGTTTAGGGTTCAGGCTTGAAATAGGACCATCATGTAGCACACCCTGCATGCTTCAAAAGCCAGGAGCGCCTCAGCCACTGCACCATCCGAGCCGAGCTGGAGAAAGTCGCCCGGGACCTGGGGAATTCGATCCAGGCGTGCAACCTAGACCCGAAACCCAGAAGGAAGAACCGGAGGCTGCTTCCGACCTCACTCCACACGAATTTCAAGTTCAGAGATCCTGAAGGACTTCTGAACATTTTTGAATGTTTTTGCAATTTCTGAACCTCTTGCTGCCACGTCAAGACTGACCTCAGTTGTAATTGTAATGCGCTGGTAGTATCAGAAGTACCAGCTACACTTCTTCTCACCCCAGTTTAGTGTCCCATGTCATGAATCTCCAAGATCAAAAAGCTTCCCTCGCGGCACTTGCCCTAAACCCTACGCCCTATGTACGCCCGAAAACAACCCTAAACCCTAAACCCTAAACCCTAAACCCTAAACCCTAAACCCTAAACCCTAAACCCTAAACCCCCAACTCTTGCAAGGTGCCAGCCCTCACTGGTCCCGGGGATCCGCGATGGCAGGGCGCTGGTACGCTCGTGGAGGCCCCGACATGCGCCGAGCATCTTTAGGGTTTAGGGTTTGGGGTTTGGGGTTGTAAAAGCCCTAAAGCCGTGAACCGTTTGGGGCTTAAGCCCCTGAAGCCCTGAGACCATAGACGCCAAGGAGCTGTTCCCAAGTTCCGTTCCGTTTTTTGGTGGTTAAGGGTTTGGGGTTCCCTATTTTCTGCACCCTAAACCCTGAACCCCCTAAACCCTAAACCCTAAACCCTAAACCCTAAACCCTAGTCCCCAATTTTCGGTGGCTGCCCTCATGGAGATGTTGGTGTCGCAGACCGCTGTGGCGCAGGAGCGCTTCAGGGGCGAGCAGCTCCTGGAACAAGGTGCTGGGGGGAGGGGGGGGTGGTTTAGGGGGTTAGGTTTAGGGTTTAGGGTTTAGGGTTTAGGGTTTAGGGTTTAGGGTTTAGGGTTTAGGGTTTAGGGTTTAGGGTTTAGGGTTTAGGGTTTGGGGTTTGGGGTTTAGGGTTTAGGGTTTGGGGTTTAGGGCTTAGGGTTGAGGGTTTAGGACTTAGGGTTGAGGACTCAAAGAGTCACAGGATTCAGGGTTTGCCAGAGCAAGCCTCTTCTGTTTGGGGAGTGCCAGCATTTTCGGGTTTAGGGTTTAGGGCTTCGGGTTTAGGGTTTAGGGTAGGATCTTCCCCCTCATACTAACAGTCCTTAATACGGATTATAAAAGGGGTACTATAATCCCTACTAAAGACTGTTAGTATAAGGGCGAGCATCCAAAGGTAGACGAGTCTTATATCCATGAGGACCGCAACAAGGATCGTCACATTGGCTCAAATATCTTCGAGTCTAGATGCTAGCAGTGCGGGAATTGATTGGGTAGTACCTTAAACAAACCAACTTTTTTGTGGGTTACCTAAGCATCCTACAAGGGGCTTTATAAGTAGAGCCTACAATGAGGTAGGTTTTGGGGTTCTTAAAGTAGAGTTTAGTGATGGTGGTTTCGCTTGCGGATGCACGTGAAGCTACCCTCCAAGTCCCAAAATCCTTAATCCCTCAAATGCCCCCAACCTGTAGGTCTTAAGCCCTGAACCCTGAACGCCAAACCCTAAACCCTAAACCCTAAACCCTAAACCCTAAACCCTAAACCCTAAACCCTAAACCCTAAACCCTAAACCCCTACAGCCTCAGTTCGCTGCCAGACCAGGCTACGAGGCTGCCGCGTTGGCGAGACTGCGCAGGGTGGGGAGCCCAAGAAGTTGAGCCTTCCCAAACATTTAGGGGGTTTAGGGTTTACGTGGGGTTCAGGGTTTAGGGTTTAGGGTTCAGGGTTTAGGGTTTAGGGTTTAGGATCAAGGGACTAAAGGAGGGACCCTTATAAGGGACCTTAGGGGGTATTGGGGGTTATTTGGGGGCTTGCTTAGGTATATGGGGACTATATATAAGATATATGTAGGGGGTAGACAGGGGAATACCTCTAAGACCAGGCAAAACTATTTTCTGACTATTATCCAGATCCTAAAAAATGGACTATTAGTCATGATCAAAGAGACTATGTTGATGAATCTAGTCTGTTTAAATAGACTAGAAAATACTCTCTGTGAACAGTCTATTTTTCGAAACTAACACTAAACTAGCTCTAGGCAAGCGGAGAATAGTTTTTGAATAATCTCAAAACAAGAATAAGATAATAGTCAGGAAATAGACTAACCTGGTCTTAGAGGTAAGGTTCAGGGTCCCTTCTAGGGTCCCTCCTTTTGCCCCCCTTAAACGGAATTAGACGGGGGAGTCTGATGAAGCGTTTTAGGGTTTAGGGTCTAGGGTTTAGGGTTTAGGGCTGAAGCCCGATAGTTTTGTATTTTGTTTTTTTTTTGGGGGGGGGGGGGGGGGGGGGGGGGCGGGGGGGTTGGGGGGGGGGGGGGGGGGGGGGGGGGGGGGTTGGGGGGGGGGGCTTTGGGGGGGGGGGGGGGGGGGCTTTGGGGGGGGGGGTTGGGGGGGGGGTTGGGGGGGGGGTGGGGGGGGGGTTGGGGGGGGGGTTGGGGGGGGGGGTGGGGGGGGGGGGTTGGGGGGGGGGGTTGCGGGGGGGGTTGGGGGGGGGGGGTTGGGGGGGGGTTATAAACTCTCGAGTTGGCTACTTTGAGGTTATAGAGTTCTGTGGGAACTATAGCATACAAGGTGTTGAAAAATAGATGAACATGGGTCCCCATGCCCTGAAAAAATAACGCCTAAACTCAGACCCTAAACCCGCACGCCGTAAACCCTAAAAACTTAAGCTCCAACTGTTAGGGTTTGGGGTTTGGGGTTTAGGGTTTAGGGCCCTAAACACCCATAACTTGGGACTTCAGGGTCCTTATAGGATATTGGGGATCACTGCCAGGTAGTGGCCTGGTCTGAGCAGCTCCCCGATCAGGCACCGCATTTTGCCGCAGAGCTTTCCGCGTACGCCCCTTGCGTGGGCCTACCGAAGGGCCAGTGAGGGTGTAGGGTTTATAGGGCCTGAACCTAAACCCTCAGCCCTCTACCCTATACCCTACACCCCAATTTCTCTTCTTGTAAAGGCCACCCCTCAAAAGCTGAAGCGCATTAAGCTTGTAAGTGCCCTAAGATCCCCCAAAGTCCCCACGATCTTGGAGTTTAGGGTTTAGGGTGTAGGGCCTGAAGCGAAACCGAACGGCAAGGACTTCAGGTAACCAATACCCTCGAACCTCGCAGAATTGAAGCCGAAGTCCCGCACCCCAAATCCCCAAAACCCCGAACCTTCAACCCCAAACCCCAAACCTAAACCCTCAACCTTGTAACACCTTTAGACCGAAGGTTAAACTCAAATTTACGAGCCGCTACAGGCCCAAGCAAACCAAAACCCTGAACCCCCAAAACCCCAAACCCGGAAGCCCTAGACCACCCACCTTCGACCCTAAACCCCAAACCCTAAGCCCCAGACCCCAAAGCCTAAATCCCGAAACCCTGTCTAAACCCTAAAGGTTAAAGCGACCCGAAACCCTCGACCCTAAACCCCAAACGCTAAACCCTAAACCCTAAACCCTAAACCCTAAACCCTAAACCCTAAACCCTAAACCCTAAACCCTAAAATAACCCTAAGCCCTAAGCCCTAAACCCTAAACCCTAAACCCTAAACCCTAAACCCTAAACCCTAAACCCTAAACCCTAAACCCTAAACCCTTGGAGCCTCGAAGGCCTCCACGCTTCAGGATGTCGCAGCAGCCAAAGCATCCATAGGTGCCTTTTGGGGGGGGGGGGGGTTGGGTTTAGGGTTTTAGGGTTTTAGGGTTTAGGGTTTAGGGTTTAGGGTTTAGGGTCTAGGGTTTAGGGTTTAGGGTGTAGGGTTTAGGGTTTAGGGTTTAGGGTTTGGGGTTTGGGGTTTGGGGTTTGGGGTTTGGGGTTTGGGGTTTGGGGTTTGGGGTTTGGGGTTTGGGCATCTTAGTGCAGGAAAGATGAAATAGAGACAGTTTGTGGGCTCAGAGTGTTTTTTGGAGGAGCGGCTGCCAGGTTGCCAGGTGGGCGTTCACGGCTCAGACTTGTGCAGGGTACGCCTCCCCTTCTGAACTGTAAGGGTTTAGGGTTTAGGGTTTAGGGTTTAGGGTTTAGGGTTTAGGGTTTAGGGTTTAGGGTTTAGGGTTTAGGGTTTAGGGTTTAGGGAGCCCCCAAGTGACAAGAGGGCCATGAAGAAGGCCATGCATGAAGTCCCCAACCCCCTCTTCCACCAGGCAAGCGTAGCATTTTTTGGCTGAAGGCCGGAGCAACTTGCGATCGTCCGACGAAAGCACCCCTCACACATCCTCACACCGACTTCCACGGTTCATTCCACTTTCCACTGCATGTTCAGTGCCACGCTCATTATAGGGGATCTTCTTTTCTTGACACAGCTCTAGCCTGCTTTTTGATCCGCCATGTCGCGCATGATTTTCGGGAAGCCGGCACGAAGCAGCATCTTGCTCAGCAGCTTGCTGTGGTCTTTTGGGGAGGCCTGCACCATCATTGCCGTCGGCAAGGATGCAAGCGCCACCGGCTATCCCATGGTCTCTCACAGTGACGACAGTGGCCCAAGCACCACGGACGTGCGCCTTGTGCGGGTGCCGAGGAAGCAGTGGCCAAAAGGCTCCGTGCGGAAGCTCTACGAGTGGCGCATCCCCTACCCGCGCCTCGTGAGTTCTCACATGGCGCCCGCGTACCATCCGCTGGAGGGTCAGGAGGAGTTCGAAGTCATTGGCGAGATCCCGCAGGTGGAAGAAACATGGGGCTACTGGGACACGGAATATGGCATGCAGAACGAGTGGGGCCTCTCCATCGGCGAGAGCACGGCCATGGCCATGACGGTAGGCTGGGCGGCGGCCAAGGACAAGCCCTGGGGCAAGAACCGCGTGGGCATCGAAGACCTTACGAAGTTGGCCATGGAGCGCTGCAAGACAGCCAGGTGCGCGGTGCAGATGATGGGCGACATCGCCGTGGAGCAGGGGTTCTACAGCGCTGACTCGGGGAGTCCCGAGGCACCAGCTTATGGAGGTAGCTCGGAGGCCCTCGTCCTCGTAGACGCGGATCCAGGGGAGATGTGGGTCTTCAACGTGCTCACGGGCAAGCAGAATGCCTCGGCCATCTGGGCTGCGCAGCGCCTACCCAGCGACCATGTGGCGGCGGTGGGAAATTCCTTCACCATCCGCAGCCTGGACCTGAACGATCCGGAGAACAACCTCTTCAGCCCAAAGGTGACGGAGCTGGCGGAGGAGATGGGGTGGTGGAGCCCGCAAGAAGCAAAGTTCGAGGGCGACTTCGACTTCTTCGGTGCCTATGGCTACCAGCCCTACGAGTATAACACGGCCGCAGGACAGTTGCAGTTCACCAAGAACCTGAACAGCTTCTATAGCGGCCGCCGCATGTGGCGTGTCTTTAGCCTGCTCAGCCCAGAGGAGGGGGGCAAGTTGGACCCTGAGCTTGGAAACCTGCCCAAGACCAAGAACCCCTACCCGCCCTCGGTGAGGGCTCCCAAGCATTCGGTGACGCGCCGCATGGTCATGGACGCGCTGCGGGACCACTACGAGGGCACCCCCTACGACCTCACCAAAGGCATGGCGGCAGGTCCCCACGGGACGCCCAACCGCGGACCCGTCCACGGCCTGGCAGGTCAGTGGGAGCGTGCCATCTCCATGTACCGCACCAGCTACTCCTACGTCCTGGAACCTCGCCCCCATCGCCGCAGCCTCACCTGGTTCGGCTACGATGCAGCGCACGGCACCGTGTGGCTGCCCTTCTACGGAGCCTCAGAAATCCCAGCACCGGAGATGTACAGCGCCCACGGCCTGAACATGTCCACCTTCAACACCCAGGCAGCTTGGTGGGCCTTCAACCTCATCAACCAGTACTCTGACCTGAACTTCCAGCTCATCAACGCGGAGGTTCGGGCTCGGGCGTTGGAGATGGATCACGAGGCAACCGCAGCCCTGGAGGAGTGGCTTGCTTCGCCAATAACTTTGTGAACCTTAAGCTTTGGGTTTTTCTTATTTAGTAGGAATATTAAAGCTTAACCTTCTTTGTAGTCCTTGGTTTTTGGGAGAAGCAAGGTGGGAAGCTTCGTGCCCGGAGGGTGAGCTATGTGAGTTGGCCAAGCGCGCCAACGCCTTCGCCGTGCAGAAGGTGCAGCAGTGGTGGCAGCTGGCTTGGCAGCTCATTGCGAAGTACGGCCGCTTGGTGACCACCTACAACGAATCCGACAAGGGGGTGGATGCAGAAGGCCAGAAGTATCCCCTCTGGTGGCTGAGAAGCCCAGACGTTGGCTTCACCTTGTGGACACCCGCCGGGCCCTTCCATGGCCTTCCCTATGGGAGTCATGAGAGCACGGGCCTGGATGCCCAGTGGCCCATGGATCTGGACACCCAATGGATCTCATGCCTTTGCATTTTGATGCTTTTTGCAATCACCTACGTCTCGGGCCTGCAACATGGCCGCCGCATGGAGTGCAAGGTCAGCCATGGGAATCTTCACCGATCCTCTGGATCCTCTCTACCGTTTTCTGAGGGCTTCGACTTGAGGCGATTCTCCGGAATGTGTCAGCCCTATGGTCTGTGGTCTGTCCTGATGAATCTGTGCGCTGCCCCCCCATGCTGGGATCCTGAGGATCCTACGCCAGCACCAGAAACTGCGCAGACACCGATGCTCAGCCGCTGGCGTTGACACCGCATCCAATCCAGCGTTAGGTCTTCCTGGCGCTGGTGTTGATTTGTCAACTTTCGGCACAAATGCGTGATCCTAGAGGAGACAGTTTGGGGGGCAGAGGGTCTTGGCAACGAACAGCGTTGACGTCCCAGGACAAGTTACATGTTTTCTGGTCTGTTGTGGCGCATGCCTTCGAGAAACGAGTGGCCGTATATGCACCCTGCAACACAGATTTTCAGAGAAGAAAGGATCCTATTTTCTTGTTGGGCAAAGATTGCTCAAGGCATTATGTGTCTAATTAGGGGGCAGGGCTAGGGCCCGAGCCTCTAGCGCCGAGAAGTTGGCGTTGTGCAGATTTTGGGTGTCATCACCTCTGTTTTGGGCCTACAGTATGGCCGCCCCATGGAGTGCAAGGACACCCATGAAAAATAATATTTCCGCTGAGCCATAGGGAGCAGGGCTAGGGCCCGAGTCTCTAGCGCCGCAAGCGAGAAAGTGTTGTGGTGCGAGGCATCCAGGAAGAAAACAGAAGCAGATGCCCAACTCCCCCCGTCCACATCCCTATTCAGGGTAGGCTTGAACAGAATTTGTAATTTTGTTACCCTTAATTCCCTATGCAATCCTTGTAAAACCAGGGCCCCCAAACCCACCCAGCAGCAAACTGGAGTATGGGCAATAGCAGAGGGAAGTTTCCCTGTTCCGAGCGTAAACCCCGGTGGCCGCCGAGAGCCCTGCACCCTCAGCCTTTAAACCTACCAGCCACTCGCGAAGTGTCGCGAAGCTCATACAAGTGTTGATGGTGTAAGTTTAGGTTTAGGTCTGGGGCGTTCACAGCTTGTCGGCTTTGGGGTTTGAGGTTCAGGGCCTTTAGGTTTTGATGCTTTAGGTTTTTTCGTGTGTGTGATTTGGGGCTTTGAGGATGTCCTAGAGGGGTGTCCGGATTTTAGTGGTTCAGGGCTTCACCTCGCCTCCGGAACTGTAAGGTTTAGGGTTTAGGGTTTAGGCTTTAGGCTTTAGGCTTTAGGGTTTAGGGAGCCCCCAAGTGACAAGAAGGCCATGAAGAAGGCCACGCATGAGGTCTCCCACACCCTCTTCCACCAGGCAAGTGTAGCGTTTTTGGCTGAAGGCTGGAGCTACTTGCGATCGCCCGACGAAAGCACCTCTCACGCCGACTTTCATGTCTCATTCCCTTGAAGGTTCAGTGCCACGCTCATTAGGGGATCTTCTTTTCTTGACACGGCTCTGGTCTGCTTTTTGATCCGCCATGTCGCGCATGATTTTCGGGAAGCCGAGCAGCATCCTGCTCAGCAGCTTGCTGTGGTCTTTTGGGGAGGCCTGCACCATCATTGCCGTTGGCAAGGATGCAAGCGCCACCGGCTATCCCATGGTCTCTCACAGTGACGACAGTGGCCCAAGCACCACGGACGTGCGCCTTGTGCGGGTGCCGAGGAAGCAGTGGCCAAAAGGCTCCGTGCGGAAGCTCTACGAGTGGCGCATCCCCTACCCGCGCCTCGTGAGTTCTCACATGGCGCCGGCGTACCATCCGCTGGAGGGGCAGGAGGAGTTCGAAGTCATTGGCGAGATCCCGCAGGTGGAAGAAACATGGGGCTACTGGGACACGGAATATGGCATGCAGAACGAGTGGGGCCTCTCCATCGGCGAGAGCACGGCCACGGCCATGACGGTAGGCTGGGCGGCGGCCAAGGACAAGCCCTGGGGCAAGAACCGCGTGGGCATCGAAGACCTTACGAAGTTGGCCATGGAGCGCTGCAAGACAGCCAGGTGCGCGGTGCAGATGATGGGCGACATCGCCGTGGAGCAGGGGTTCTACAGCGCTGACTCGGGGAGTCCCGAGGCACCAGCTTATGGAGGTAGCTCGGAGGCCCTCGTCCTCGTAGACGCGGATCCAGGGGAGATGTGGGTCTTCAACGTGCTCACGGGCAAGCAGAATGCCTCGGCCATCTGGGCTGCGCAGCGCCTACCCAGCGACCATGTGGCGGCGGTGGGAAATTCCTTCACCATCCGCAGCCTGGACCTGAACGATCCGGAGAACAACCTCTTCAGCCCAAAGG